CTCGAGTGTAGTTTAGATTTAATGGAGAGTGAATCCAATAAGAAACTTCTGAACACTGTGTTAATCATTTGTTTGCATCAGCACAAAGTGGCTCCTGACAATAAACAGCCTCACAGTGAGAGACATTCAGGATCTTTCCCCCGGGACGCTCCCATTATGGCTAATCAGGAATCGTTTATGTGACTACACCACCTGCAACATATAAACACCACATATTTACACTAGTTTGTTTTCGTCTTTTATGTCTTTGTGTGTCAGGAGTGAGGCAGAGTTTAACCTTTTAATGGTTTATTCTGCCATTTGGTGGATCACTTTTTGAGTCACGATATCTACTCAAAGCTTGGACATTTACCTCATGTATATTTATCACTTGGTTATAGGCACTTTTACCATCAAACTGCATCTCAACCATTTTGTAAAGGACCAAAAAACTAGTCCTTAGTCCTAGTCATCTTAGAAAATCAGAGAAAGATAAATTTACATTGCTTTCTTCAAGAAGTGAACAATAAAGGGATAAGCTCATAATCAACAATCATATTTTCATCAATGTTTTTATCATTGATAAATTAGAACAAGGGTCTTCAACCTTCAACACGGGAGCTACCAGGAGCTCGCCATGCCCAGCCCAGGGACTGGCCTTCTGCTGGTGCCCAGAGTCAGGACTAAACATGGGGAGGTAGCCTTTCAGATTTATGCAGTTAAAATCTTCCTGGAAATGTGAGACAGGCTTCTTCTTTGACAATGTTCGAATCCAGGTTGAAAACATTTCTGTTTAGCTGCGTACAACTGAAGGACTGTATCTTCACTCTTCTAAACTCTGTGATAAATTATGATTTGACTGTTTGATTCTCTGATCTTCATGAATCAACAATAAAAAGTTCTTTGGCTATAGCTTAAAATATATAAAAAATGCTAAGGAATTGTCAAATGTTGTCCTTTTTGGATCATTTTATATCATCAATACTTTCTCAAATCAAGTACTGTATCTCTTCATTACAAATTTTGGCATCGAATGATATCAAATGTTTGATACTTTGAGCTACAAACGTTGTTCAGTCCTTCAGCAAATCACCAAGAAAATGAGTATGATTATCAACCATTTCTTTCATGCTTACGCTTCTGAGCTAAATGTCTTCAATCCCCACCTTTTTCCAACCATCAAAGATCTCCAGCCAGTTTTAAAACAAACCATCACATAAAAGCCTTGTCAGAAAGCAGCAGCAGCAGAGAAAAGAGAATCTGTGAGTTTTATTCTAATGAGAGCTTTTCCTTTTCATCTCCAATTTTCTGACCTCTGTGTCTTCTCCCGTTTACATCTCAGTCTCAGTCTCCAGAGACATCGATCGGCTTCACTCTATAAGCTCATTCTTTAAACTGACTTACCCGGTACATCATTGCAGAGGTCATTTTTTCCTTTTCTTTTTTGTGCTCTTCTGAAATGCACTCCAATCCCAGAGGAGCAGTGCGGCTGGTGCTTTGATGTATCCCGTGCATGTGATACAGTCAGAAGTTCAGCCGATGAAGAGAAAGAATATTTTGTACTGTGCCTTTGAGCGCCTGTATCTGCGGCTTTTTTTTATCACTGTGGCCACAACTGCCCTGGGGCACACTGAGACAAGCAAGGTGACAACCATTCACGCACACACCAGACTCATTCACTGCAATGTGGGTGAAGTGTCTTGTCCAATGATACAACAAAGCGTAGGCACCCCACTGTGGCACCTTGTGTTCCCAGAGGTCTCCCATCACAGCACTAACCAGGCCTGCTTAGCTTCAGAAGACTGACGGGATCTGGCTTCACAGGTGGCGCCAAAAATTCATATACAGTACATAATTCCTAATCTTAAACACTTCCGAACATCAAAGATTTTTTTACTTTCACTTTTTTAGTTAGTTTTATTTCTGTACTTTTAACCGTGTTTATTTACAGTACAGACCAAAAGTTTGGACACACCTTCTCATCCAAAGAGTTTTTTATTTTCATGATCATGAAAATTGTAGATTCACACTGAAGGCATCGAAACAACTATTTAACTCATGTGGAATTATGTTCGTACTAAAAAAATGTACGAAACAACTGAAAATATGTCTTATATTCTGGGTTCTTCAAAGGGGTGAAGTGGGGCGGCTGCGGCTGCAAAGTGCCAATGCTCTTGGCATTCTCTTGATGAGCTTCAACAGGACCTGAAATGGTCTTCAACAGACGGAAGGAGTTCCCATGATGCTCAGCACTTGTGGGCCCCTTCACTCTGTGGTCCAGCCCCAAAACCATCTGGATTGAGGTCCGGTGACTGGAGGCCGGGTCATGTGGCCCAGCACCATCACTCTCCTTATTGGTCAAACAGCCCGAACACAGCCTGGTGTGGATCTACAGTCAATGGTCATGAAGAGAAACTAATTGAGTGAGAAAGTGTGTCCAAACTTTTGGTCTGTACCGTATGTACTTGCACACTGTGGACTTTTGCACATGTATTCCTATGTGGTTTTACTGCAAATGGCAAATCAAATTAATCTGAATCTGAATATTATACAACATGAAATGACAACAGTGACATCATCCTTCTCTATATTTCTGCTTTAACAAAAACATAAGGAAAGTTCTCTGACACTGAACCTGGAACAAGGTTAAAACCATGTGAGCTGAATTTAAAGAATTCTCCTGTAACTCAAGGTGAATGATCTGCTTCAGGGCCAGAGACACCGCACACACAAACACGCACACACACTCACACACGCATACACACATACACACATACACTCAGACACACACACACATACACATACACACTCACATACACTCATACACATACACGCAAACACACACACACACGCGCGCATACACGCATACAGACATACACGTGTACACACATACATAGATACACACACTCTCTCTCACTGTTACTGCTCAGGGCAAGTATCGACTCCAGATGAAGATATAGTTTCAAAATTGAATTGCAACGTCTGCCGTATCAGATTCAGAATCTCCTGTTGCTCTGTGCTTCACTCTGGATTATTTGAAGGACAAACATGTTCAAGTCAAAGGAAAAAATATGATCTCGCACTTCCAACTTTGATTGATTGACCTTTTATACTACATCACCCCAAATGCTTAAACGGTGTAAGTATCTTTAGGTAACTTCTTGTAAAACTTTTTGCAGTGTGAAATACCACAGATAGACATCAAACACGCAAAGGAAATCTCAGGTCTCTGCTTCCTGTGGCTCAGAGAAAAGACTTTAAATCAGCTCTGTTTGTCACAGAGCTGATTAAGTCTTCCACTGATGACTGCTGTCGTTGTGTCCTTGGGCAAGACACTTAACCCCACTTTGCCTGAAGCCCCCACTGAAAGATCTCAGCTCCTGTGGACTCACCACCTGCAGGAGGATCAGTGAGGGGCTGGTGCTGAGTGTACTGGTGCAGCTCTGACTGCCACCCCCCGACCCAGAAATGGATTAAGGGGAAGAAGATGGATGGATGGATGGATGTTTGTCACAAGTCTCTCCATGGCCTCGCACAAAATCTGGATCAGTCTTCTTGAAAATGTGAGACTGGCTTGTACTCTGATAATGTATGAACCCAGGTTGTGTTTAGCTGTGCAGACAACGGTAGGATTGTATCTTTTCTCTTTTGGATGATGATTATTTATGATTTGTATGAACTGTGCTATACACTTAAACCTGCCTTGCCTACAGTAACACCCTGTTCTCTTTGATGAAGCTACAGGTCCATCCTGGGGGGTGGGGGGGTGGACCATGTGGAGGCCCAGCACACGAGACGGTCACATGATAGCGGGTGTGCTGTCATTTATCTGTGTCATCTGCGAAGGTGTCTCAGATCCGCGGAACTGACGTGTAACTCTCACATTATTCATGGTCCTGACGGCGGGAAGCAGCAGGACGCTCCAGAGACACCAGAGACACCAGAGACACCAGAGGGCGTGTCCCTGTGACCTCACTGCTCAAGAGGAGATCTGTGCTCTACGGGTTTCAGGTATGTGGAGGCTAGTTTGGATGTTGCGTATTTAGTAGTTTATCTATTTTCTTTGGTAAATATGAATATTTAGATATTTTGTCACATGTTTTTCAAATATCGTATACATTACACAATAGGAGAAAAAGTGTATGTGGCGTCGCTGTTTCTCAGATTTTTGTGTGTGACATTTTGCATGTTTTTTTTTCACAGCATCATTTACAACTAAAATATCAAAAACGTCATATAACCGCTGGTATTTGTGCACTGCAGTGATTAGTTCAGAGGACCCTATTTCTGGACTCTCTCTCAGGTCTCTCTCTGGTCTCTCTCTCTGGTCTCTCTCTCTGGTCTCTCTCTCTGGTCTCTCTCTCTGGTCTCTCTTTCTGGTCTCTCTCTCAGGTCTCTCTCTGGGGTCTCTCTGTGGTCTCTCTTTCTAGTCCCTCTCTCTGGTCTCTTTCTCTGGTCTCTCTCTGGTCTCTTTCTCTGGTCTCTCTCTGGTCTCCCTCTGGTCTCTCTCTGGTCTCTCTCTGGTCTTCCCTCTCCCTCAGTGTCCTCTGCAGTTGTATTTTACAGTGTGTGCACGGCTTTTGACAGCTGCAGCAGCGCTCAGACCTACAAACACCAGCTTTGACATCTCTCTCACTTCCTCAGTCGTGAGTTCAGGTGGTTAGAAAACTGTATGAAGTGTTTTTTGAGGGGTTTTACAGCCTTAAAACATACAGCTGCTACTTCACAGATTTGGCTTATTGCAGGTAATTTTACGATAAACAAGGGACCACTGTTTACTAAAAGAAGTCAGACCAAAAAGCCTTTAGGCAGAAGTCAAAGCTTATACTGCCTCACCTCTTTCTACAACTTTGACACTGTGTCCAAAGATGACACAGTAAATTGTCCCCAGGGTAAAATACAAGATATAAGATGAAGATTCTGTATGCAGGGCCCACAGGGGGGAAATGCCAGTGTTGCATCGCAGTAACAGAGCAGCAGGAATGAGAAACACACAAACACGAGATCAGGATCAAACTTACTTGGAGGTGTTTTCCAAAATGCTGCGGACTTCGTTGATCTGATCGTTGCCAAAATACACCACAGTGAGATGCACACGGCCGTCCTGTCGCACACACACGTCCCTGCAGAGACACACACACACACACACACACACACACACACAGTTCAACATTATCAACCACTGACACATTTTTTTCTCCTCTTTTTAATGTTACTTTTAAGATTTGTATGTTTTTTGTTACTACTGTTTTATACTTTATTACTATTCTTCTTCTTATTATTACTATTTATGATTTGTTTTTTATCCATTTATTTTTTACCACAAGGGGCAGACAGTGGGGGTGGAAAACGTACTCACTATGTTGTATGTGACATGGAAAAAAATGTACACTAATAAAAACAACACAATAAAGTAGAAATGATAAAGAATAATAAGCGAAGATGATGGAATAAACGACAGCTCACTCTGCAGCAGCTGCTCTCTGCTTCTGCTTTTAATATAGATGAGGAGAAAACTGTTTGCTCAGCGACTACACAAGTCTTTCAAGTGCTTCCACAGTGAATGAGCTACTGCCGCTCTGCCCAGGAGGGAGTTTAACGGGCAGTACCCCACGACCAAACAGGATTTAACAAACTACAGGAAGAGCTGGGATCAGCATCCACCGCGATACATTACCTCCAGTGACAGGGCTTCACTCCGAACACTCAGCCACTAAAACATACATATTCTCGGTGGCTCTGATGACATGGTATTTCTGCACTTTTATTGTGTTTTATATCTGTATATGTTACTGTGTTTTTGTGTTTCCCCTGGTGCCCTGTCTGCAATTGAAGTTACCACGGATAAATAAAGTTATTCTAATTTGAATTTGAATTGAATGACAAAACTGTGCACAAGTAAAACTACAAAGCGATTAGTGACTTTCGGAGGCAGCAGCGGCGTGATTTTAGATCTGTATTCACATGATGAGGCCATTTGCAAAATCAAATATCTCCCTTTCGAAAGTTTGAGCAGAGTTTTGGCAAATGTGGCCAAATGTGTCTTAATTTGAGCACATTCCGACCGCCTTAAAACAAGAGTTGCCAATGGGACAAAACAAAATTAGGTAAAGGTAAAGGTAAAGGAGCACTTTTATTAATCCCCGTAGGGCAATTCAATCTCTGCATTTGACCCATCCTGATGCCGCAAAGGCTTATGTTAGGAGCAGTGGTCGCCGTAGTAACAGCGCCCGGGAACCCGTCTCCAGATGTTGATGCTCGGCTCGGTCAGGACTACAGGAGCTGGAGGATTATACCTAGTGTGCATGTTTTTAGTACTTATTTGATTTTCAAAAGAAACGAGAAACGTCTCCTTTGGAATGAACAAATAAAGCAAAAGTTCTTGAAATAAGACTAAATGGCTTTGTCTCATTGGGAAATCTTGTTTTGACACAGTCAGAAAGTACTAAAAAAAAGTATGAAGTGCCACAAGCAATCGTAAATGTTTCTTCTTTAATTTTTACATGTTAAAGAAAGGGGCAACTGAAGATTGTTGTCCTCTTTCTGCTCCTTTTTGTGTCTGTGACAGGACTACAATGATTGGAAATGTAATTGTAATGTGGTGTATTGTCACGTCTACAATTTAAATGAATAAATAAACAGATCTAAAAAATAAATAAACAATAAAAATGAAATAGATAAATAAATAATACACATAAAATAAATTCATCAATAAATAAATATCAAATAAAATAATAATAATGATAATAATAAAAACAAAATAATAATACAAAAATGAAATATCAAAAAATAGATACATAAAAATAAATAAATAAAACATACAAAAATGAATAAATATATAAATAAATATATTGACTAAATTCAAGCAACGATTACCTCATAATATATCATCTTTTGCAGTGTGTTTTGTAGATCGTAAACACAGTACACTGACCTGAAGTTGAGCATGAACTGTCTGAACTTGTCCGTGCGTCTGGACAGAGGGACGATGACGTTGATGATGGCGGCGGCCGTGTCCACTCTCTCGCTCCTCACCTTCATCAGAGGCCCAAACGGCCGGAACAGCACCAGGCGCCGGAACTCCTGGGCCGCCTCGCCTCTGAAGGTCAGCTCGTACAGCGTGCCCTTGTCCTTCTCTGTCCGAGTTATACCTGAGAAACACAATACTTTTAAATCCAGACGGAGAGACATGAGAGAGACTTCCTCAGTGACAAATAACTGTTTTATAATCTGTCGTTTTATGTCATTTTGTGTAACTTTTATTGCTTCTTGTTCAGGACTCCCTGGGAAAATAGGTTCTTAATCTCAGTGGGACTTTCCAGGTTAAATGAAAGCAAAATGTAAAGAAAAAACTCAGTGTCACTTTACTCATCTGTACAATTTGAATAATGTCAAATTTAGAACCGCTTAATTTAAGATAAGATAAACTTTATTTGGACTCACACTGAAGAAATGCATGTTACATTTGGCACAGATAATCACTCAGATTGTGCAAAAGACATGTTAAAGGTTAAAAATATAGTCTGTGCAGGATATAATTATGTAAAATAAAAAAAATAAAAAATAGTAGTGCTGTTTTTTCAGTCCTAGTGCATTAGTGACTTGAAGTGACTTATTGTACAGTCTGACAGCGTGGGGATAAAGGCCCTGTGGTAGCGCTCCTGTCGTCTGTCACTTTGTCCCAGACCCTCATGCTGCTAACTAAGATTGTATACTTGCTTATTTATTATGCTAAAGCTCCTGTAACTTGCAACACTGACATTTCCCCGCTGTGGGAAACAAAGGATCTCTTCATCTTAATCTTATAGACATTTGAACGATCATTTCTAGGAGCAGATGATCCTAGCATTGACCACAGCAACAATATCCTGTTACTGCAGTTCCGACCTGATTTATTATGTGACTTTATAGAATGCAATATCCTGTGTGCGTCTGAGAGACTCTGATCTGCTGCTGCCAGCCACAAAATACATAAATAATAAGAATCATACAAAACACAGTCACACAGTACACAAGACCTTATACTTACTTCTTTATCATGCATTAACTTAGAGATTTGGCCTCATTTTATTAAAGATGCTATACCCGATTTTTTTTTATGAGTTAATAAAAATGCTTATTACTACTACAAGTTGTAATATAATCCGTAATTTAATTGAAAACTTGAGCTCGTTGATTCAGCTTGTGTATGAATTCAGGCCGTAAAAAGTGCTGAGTAGAAACTCCTCCAATCACAGAACAAGGAGTGGCGCTGTTTATAACACACTGCGTCCTCTAGCCTCTACAGTGCTGCTAAGTTCAAGTTCAAGTTGTCTTTATTGTCCCACTGGGGGAAATTGGTTTTGCAGCAGCAATCATCTAAAAACAGGCATATACAGTAAGATCACAAACATTGAAGAAAACAAGAACAAGACAGATTATCACAAAGCTAATTTTCAATGCAAATAGGCTGTAAAGTGCAAAGGTTTGTACAAGTGCTATGTGCTGTTAAGGTGCTTCACAGCTGTTGGAATAAATGTAGTTCCCAACCGTTTTGTCCTACACCCAAGAGCCCTATAGCGTCGTCCTGAGGGTAAAAGTTCAAACTGCTCCCTCAGGGGGTGGTCCAAAGAACCAATGATAGAATTGGCCTTCCTCAGCACCTGCTCACTGTACAGGTCTCTGGGCTAAGCCTGTGTTCTCCCTGACACCTTACTGGCCACTTTAGCCTGTGGGCTGGGCTTTGAACCCTTGTGCTAACGTGCTAACATAGCCAATTCTGCTAACATGCTACTGTGTAACGGCTATAACTCCTCTGGCTGTAACTGCAGAAACAGCAAAACAGCCCAAACGACACAACAGTGAGGAAGAGAAGAGGGAACTAAAGCGAGAAAATGATCAAAGAAGAAATCAGGCCTGGGTGAACATAGCTAGCTTACATCGTATCCTCTGGAGAGACTTACAGTCTATGGGAGAGACCTGCGGGACCGCCTCGGACTATCTATGCTCGGACTATCTGTGCTCGGACTATCTATGCTCGGACAATCTGTGCTCGGACTATCTATGCTCGGACTATCTATGCTCGGACTATCTGTGCTCGGACTATCTGTGCTCGGACTATCTGTGCTCGGACTATCTGTGCTCGGACTATCTGTGCTCGGACTATCTACGCTCGGACTATCTGTGCTCGGACTATCTGTGCTCGGACTATCTATGCTCGGACTATCTGTGCTCGGACTATCTGTGCTCGGACTATCTGTGCTCGGACTATCTACGCTCAGACTATCTGTGCTCTGACTATCTGTGCTCGGACTATCTGTGCTCGGACTATCTGTGCTCGGACTATCTGTGCTCTGACTATCTGTGCTCTGACTATCTGTGCTCGGACTATCTGTGCTCGGACTATCTGTGCTCGGACTATCTATGCTCGGACTATCTGTGCTCGGATTATCTATGCTCGGACCACATTCGGACGTGAAACTAGCGGTAATCTTGCAGTTATACATTTTGTTAGCAGTGCGTTGCTTTTGTACCATTTCATCAGTGATTGTTGTACAGCTTACAAAGAAGTTGTGCTAATGCTAATGTTAGCTAATACTAGATGGCTCTGTGGGATGAGAGCGTAGGGGAAATGAAAAGCCTGTGAGCGAGTTGGGGGGCGTGGCTAAACATTCAAACCTTGCAGAAACGGGTATAGCTCCTTTAAGGTATAGAGTTAATATTTATTTATTACTATATATTTATTACTATTACTATACTTGTGCTGTGTGCTCCTCATTGTTATTGTCCTGTAACTGGTGATGCAACACTGACATTTCCTCACAGTGGGACGAATAAAGAATCTGAAAGGGTGAGTGTGAATGGGTGGTGGGAGGGGGAGATGTCACAAACTGGTTGCCTTGCTTCTGTCAGTTTACCCGAGGGCAGGAGTTGGTGGAGAAAAGATACGAGAGAAAGAAGAGAGAGTAAGGACATGACAGCGGCACCAGATTCCTCCTCTGATAGGAACATCCGGTTAACCAGCTGACTTCCTTTGATAGGGCAACTCATTTCCTCCAAAGATACCATGTGGTTTAATTTCAACAATTCACAAACAAACTGTAGTTATTTTGACCTCTGCCTCATGTTCAGGATGTGCCTCTCAGCTCAAAATGTAAACATGCACATACTCGAGTCCACTCCCTGGAAGCTCATTGTCGTTTAATGTTCCCAGAGGTCTCTCATCACAGTAATAACCAAGCCTGACCTTGCTTAGCTTCAGAGGTCTGACTACTTATTTTTGTGCTTGGTTTCATTTAAACAGATGTGTGGTGCTGTTCTTGAGTGTGTCTAAAGATATACTGTAGATACAAGATAAAAGCCAAAACCGGCAAAATGTTCTCTAACAAACTTGCCTCATCCCGCTCTCTGATTGGATGATCTGCTTGACAATTGTAAGCATAAATATTAAAGATATCAGGTCCATGGCTCCTTCAAAGAAAATCACACTTACATGCATTATCACCTGACATGTTTATATAATTGTAGGATTGTGTTTCTTCAAATTAAAATAATAACATATTTTTTGAAGCCTCCTTTTATATTCATATTTTGAATTGTTTTTCTTTTAATTAGTTTAACCCTTAAAGCCGTAATTAGGTTGGAGAAGCTCATGGAGATTAAAAATGTTTACAGTCTGTCTGTGGGAGCAGATCAGTCTTTCAGTGTGGGCCTCACTTTTTCCCACAGGGTTTTTGATTCGTTCTTTGCCGATGCCTCTCGGTCTAAAAGGACAGTGTTGATCCGGGACATTTAAGGACATTTAAGGACTTTTATTTACATTTAAGAGGACCATTGAATTGTTACTATTGCATTTCCTTTAATCGAACTGTTTTATTCTCTGATCTGTTGTTGAGGAATTAACAAACAACAAAATAAATGGATTTGAATTGGTTGGAAAACACTGCCTTTGACTGATGTAAAACAGCAGCAGGGATCATAATAATTCATAATATTCCTTTATACTGCAACAAGCCATTTTATTTAACTTGTCATAGATCATGTATTTCAGGAAGGTCAACCTCAGGCTCGTGGGCCCAATCCGGCCCTCAAGACAATACTTTAGTGGCGTCTGAAAATATTTAAATTATTATTAAGGATATGAACAATGGCCTTCACAAAGTCGACAAACACAAGACAAAACATAAAGTGACCTGGCCTTGTGTAGTTCTCAAGGACTCAGATTGTGAACCCACTCTGATTGTGTATCCGTTGTTATGATTCTATTATGATTATTATTATTTTGATGTCTCTCTGACACGTATGTGGGATGTAAGTTTGTCTATAACTTTTTTCTAACTGAAAAAACTGAAGGAACCGAAAAATTGATGGTCATGGGTTTATCATGTTTTACATTATCTGTTCACAAGAAAACAACAACACATTATCAGAAGTTTAATAGTTAAATATAAAACAATGTGTTTAATTTTATAATTGATCCAGTTTTGGTTCAATCTAAACATCCATCCATCCATCCATTTTCTACCCTTTAATCCATTTCTGGGTCAGGGGGGTGGCAGTCAGAGATGCCACCCAAGTCTCATAGCACCAGCCCCTCACTGACCCTCTGCAGGTGGTGAGTCCACAGGAGGACGGCTGCTCTCTGACTGTGAGCATAGCCTTGATCTTTCAGTGGGGGCTTTGGGCAAAGTGGGGTTAAGTGTCTTGCCCAAGGACACAACAACAGTAGTCATCAGTGGGAGTCGGTGGAGAAGGTGCAAAGGTAGGAATTGAACCCACGACCTTCTGGCCTTAAGGCCAATGCTCTACCAACTGAACTACTGTCGCCCCTGCAGATCATCAATCTAAACAATAAACACATTTTGTTTTAAGAAAAATGTCAAGATACCTTCATAATGTACATAACAATTATTTATTTATTATTCTTTTGGCCCCCGACCAGTTGGTAGTCTTTTTATTCGGCCCCTTGACCCTGATGTATTTATTCATTTAACTAAATCTAAGAACAGTGTTTGACCTTAACTTGTGACGCTCAAACCTCACCTTCCATGAAGTCGGACGGCGTGTAGACTTTGCTGCTCTGCGTCTTCCCGTCCGGCTGCAGCGAGGGCGCGTTGAGGCTCTGCAGAGACAGCTCCAGGACCTCCACAAGCTCGTCCCTCTTGTCCCGGCGGACGGGCTTCTCTTCCGGGTGCCGCGTCAGACCCATCTCCAGCTGATACAGCCTCTGCAGCGTGAAGCTCTCAAAGGGCACCACCGTGTACTCGCTGGGGAACCGGCTCCCGCTGGTCACCTCCGCTCTAGACAGCTGGTTTTTGAGGAAGTCCTGGATGTCTGTTTGTTGGTTCTTCGTCCCTTGTACCTCTCCTCCTCCTCCTCCTCCTCGTGGCCTGGGTCTCTCCTCCTCCGTCAGTCCTTTCTTCAGACTCTCCTGAACCCCTTTGAGCTGCTGACTCCTCTCCTGCAGCGCTTCTTTCAGCTGCGCGATCTGCTTCTTCAAAGACGTGATGTGAAGGCGATGCTGCTCCTCTCTCTCCGTCAGAAGAGCTTGGTACGAAAGCCCCGGCCCACCGTCCTGAGGAGGTTCCAGTCCCGCCCCACCAGCCGGCCCAGTGCCACCGGTGCCCGCGGCCCTGACCCCGCCCGGCCTGGTGCCCCCCGTGCCGGCGTGGCTGTGTGTGTCCGCCCGGGGCAGAGCGAGGACTAGAAGCGGGTCTTCGGAGTGAGGAGGACTGCAGGTCATGACGTAGAGCAGAGACAGGGAACAGCACAGCAGGACCAGGATACCCCCGACACGAGAGACCCGTGCCAAAAGTCCACGCCGCAACATGTCTGCGTCTAACATCAACGTTCCCTATCAAGCAGAGGTGGCAGTAATTCACTATTTTAAGTACTTACAAATACAACAACAAAACATAAACTTCAAAGGTTATGGTGAAAAAAAGTATGACTTCTCGGTGTCATGTATTAACTAATGTATGTACCCAAGACGCCAAAGAAGCAAAAATTCTACATTGCCAAAATTGGATTGAAACGAATGCTGCTTTGCTATAATGCACAAATGAAATATTTATTTGTCGGGTTCTACGAGGTTTTAAAAATCTATTAAAAAAGGAAGCACTGAAGAAGTTTGTGGAGGAGAGAGAGATGATGGGAGAGCGGTGTAGGGTCAGAGAGTGTTTGGGTCTTGTGTTGAACAAGTGAGAGGGGTTGGAGACAAATAAGCATCTACTTCGCCAAAACCCCTTTGTATTTCTGTTTATTTTATATCTTGTTGTTTTTGTTTAATGTTTACAAAAGTTTGAACTGCCTATTTTAGATTTGATCATTTGTTTTTTTCTCCTGGAATCAGTTGTTGTTGTTCAGACAACTTTTTACTTTTAAGCTTACTTTAACAAACAAAATATCTGTAAGTTCTTATAATTACATGTTAAATATATAAAGCTACTTTTCAGGTGGCAACAAAATATAAAATAAATCAGGTTTGGGGTTTGAGGTTAGCCACGCTTCTAAATACAGATTAAAATCATGTGCAATTACCAAACTCAGCATAAATATCTAGAGATGGGAAATGCAGAGCAGGAGAAAGTAGATGGATGGATTGTCAGTCTATTATTCAATTATTTTTATTTACTGAAGTACATGCAACAGCTAGTACTGTCATGCTTTTACTTCAGTAACGGAACGGCTTCAATACTTTTACTGTAGGGCGAGTATATATACTTTTACTTCAGTACTTCTGCCACCTCTGAGTCTCCGTCAACAGTGCGGAGGCGAATCACTTATCACTATGAGCTCATGCCTGAATGATCTAATTTCCACACAAACATTTTGGATCTACAGCTAGTATACAACGGTCCGAGTCTTGGTCCTTTTCCCATTTGAAGCCGTGTGAGAGGAGAGATGGCAGACGGCTCTGACTCACGCCGGACTCTCATTCACGGAGAATGCGTCTGCTACATGATGACGCGAGGCTGCGGCGGGTCCTTCCAACCTGCTAAGTTCCATTGTGAAGCGCACGTGTGATCGACGGCGCAGGTATTTTCATGTTTTCCAAGGATACCTGGGGGTGGAAAAGATAACAAGGTCAGAAAGAAAACACACTGAACTAATGTTGCAGCCTCCACAGCCACAGACTCCTATTGTCCAAACACCAGCCTTTTAAAGCTCAGAATCTGCAGAATTCAACTGAAGCTTTTGCGGTTTATTATTGTAACTGTATACAATCAGCCACAACTACTGAGATTATAAACAGAAGTAAGATCCTTTTAGTTTAGGAAGGTTCATCCTATTTGGTTCTGATTACCACACTGAGAGAAATCACAATGTATAGGCTGCAAATAATGAAAATCTGCCAATATATGAAGCCAATTTATTCTCAAAAACAGGCGTCTAACTCTACGGGTCATGGCCAAACTGTAAATCGTTTTGAATGAAAATCACTTAATAACTACAATTTGTTTCACTATTATCTTCTGGTCAATTTTATCTGAAATCAAAACATGTTTATTGACCCATTTTTTTATATGTAACCATTTAACTTCTAATGTGATGGGTTAAGATTATAGAAAGCATTATAGTTGGCTGTTTTCATGGGACAATAAATGATGTATAACATGCCATGGCATTCCATAACCATAATGGAAAATCATTTAAGGCCCTCTAAAAATTGTCTTGCGAGCCTGAGTTTGCCATGTCTGTGTTTTGTGATAGGGTAAGCACTGTTACGTGTGTAGGAAAAGCACTCTACAAAGAAAGTTTGATGGATGGATTGAAAACACAGGTAACATGTAGCACACTTCATCATATGCTGTATAAAATATCAATGGATAATGTTCTTTTTCCCTTTTACATGTTTGTTTAAATTCAGATGCCGCTGCCAAGACCCTCCGCTGTGTTTGCGTTGCTCAACACATGTATCTTTGTGGACGGCGGCGCACGCCACACAACCGGCTCTTTGACGCCCAGGGCTCAGAGCTGCGTCCAATGAAAGGATTAGTCTGTGAGCGGAGTCAATGCGAAGCTGTGCGGGGTTTAAGAGAGACGGTTTTATCAGGTAGAACCGGGCGACCCTCCAGCAGGACCTCCAGGCAAACCGGTGTTAAGGAGAGAGCGCACTGCAGGGAAACTGTGTACAGTGTTTTATAACTGCTTTTGTTTTATGCTAAAGCTAGAGATTTTATACTTGCTTCTTTATTATGCTAAAGCCAGAGATTGTACTTACACTTAGTATAGAGTTATTGTTCATTTATCTTGTGTTGTGTGCTTCTCATTCCTACTGTTCTGTAACTGTTGATGCAACACTGACATTTCCACTCTGGGACTAATAAAGAATCTCTTCATCTTAAACTCCAGAGACTCCACAGAAGTTTCACAGTCAACACGCCTCGGTCTTTAATTACAAAGCTATCATACTGCCGCACGTCCTCTCAAGAATATGTAAGAATGTTAATTATGTGGTGGCAGTTTTCCCCCTCGGACTCATTACGTTCGTATGATTAGCCGCTCAAACCTCCGAGAGTTTATCTGCTAGCTTCCGGCTTTTTGCCAATCCTGTAATTATAACTATGTGACGATTTATGGAAACAATATGGAATGAAACGTGTCCTGGTTTGGGCGGTGGCTTGTGTTTCCTGGGTTCGATTCCACCTCCAGGCCTTTCTGTGAGGAGTTTGCATGTTCTCACTGTGTCTGGGTAGGTTTCCTCCAGGTGCTACGGTTTCCCATACTGCTAAAAACATGTAGAATAGACATGAATGGAGTGAGTGAGTAAATGGATGGATGGTGTTGGTTGGGGGCTTCAATGCGCCAGTGTAAGAGATCTTTATTTATATAGGGCTTTTCACAGACCAGATTTACAAAGAGCTTTACAATTGTTGTTTTTGGGGCATTTTAACCACTTTTACAACCGGTTCGACTCTTCCCCTGTCCACGCTGATTCTGCTGTGACCAGTCCTGCTCCTCTCAACGGCTACACCACCCCTGCTGCTGCGTCCTTCTTCACAGTGGAGGATGTCCGGGTGGCGCTAAAACAGCTCAAGGGGAGGAAGTCTTCTGGGCCTGATGAGATAACGCCGAGGCTCCTGAAGGAATGTGCAGCGGAGTTAGCTGAGCCTCTCCATATCATCTTTAACAAGAGTCTTCAGACTGGATGTGTCCCGCTGGAAAACCTCCTGCCTGGTACCCGTCCCCAAGGTAGCAAGGCCGACAGGATGCAAGGACTACAGACCAGTGGCACTAACATCTTGTCACAATGAAGACTTTTGAGAGGCTAGTACTCCGACTGCTCATCCCATAGGTTGAGCCGGCTCTTGACTCCCTGCAGTTTGCCGATCAGGAGAACATGGGGGTGGAAGACGCGGTCCTCTACATGCTCCATCGATCCGTGTCCTTCCCTGGATGGCCCTTTGGATATGTGAGGCTGATGTTCAACTTCTCCAGTGCATTTAACACCATCCAACCTCTCTTACTGAGGGAGAAACTGGAGAAGATTGGAGTTGATCCCATCTTCACCAACGCCTGGTCTGTCTGGGACTGTTGTGAGCAATACGGGAGCACCACAGGGTACCGTTCTGGCTCCCTTCCGCTTCATAATTTACACTGCAGACTTTGCACACAACACTGCTACAGGCCATGTACAAACATACTCAGACGATACAGTATATGTTGTGGCATGTGTGAAGGAAGGGAGTGAAGCCGAGTACAAGGAACAAGGAGGTTTTGGCTGCTTTCTTAGACTGTCCATCCATTTTTCCATCCATCCATCCATTTTCTACCCTTTAATCCATTTCTGGGTCAGGGGGGTGGCAGTCAGAGATGCCACCCAAGTCTCATAGCACCAGCCCCTCACTGACCCTCTGCAGGTGGTGAGTCCACAGGAGGACGGCTGCTCTCTGAGTGTGAGCATAGCCTTGATCTTTCAGTGGGGGCTTTGGGCAAAGTGGGGTTAAGTGTCTTGCCCAAGGACACAACGACAGCAGTCATCAGTGGGAGTCGGTGGAGAAGGTGCAGAGGTGGGAAATGAACCCACAACCTTCTGGCCATAAGGCCAATGCTCTACCAACTGAGCTACTGTCGCCCACTTTCTCAGACTGGAGTGAGAGAAATGGACTGATTCTCAATGCGTCCAAGACCAGGGAGATGATCACTGACTTTCACAGGAGCCCTTCCCATCAATAGATCACATTAAATGGACAGTACATCGAAGTGGTTTAGTTCTACAAATATCTGGGAGTCCACCTGGACCACAGCCTGGACTGGTCAGCTGAGGCCAATGTCATCTATAAGAAAGGTCAGAGCAGACTTTTCTTCCTGAGACTGAGGTCCTTTGATGTGAGCAATCAAATGTTGAAACACAAACCAACGCAGATACGGGGAGAACATGCACACTCCACACAGAAAGGCCTGGACGTGGAATCGAACCCAGGACCATTTTTCTGTGAAGCCCAAGCACTAACTGCTGCGCCACCGTGTGGTCGCCGTCTCGCTTCCGTCATCACTGTTTGTGGAGAGAATGAAACAATATCTTAACTTTGTAAAGCGCTTTGGGTGACCTTGGTCTGTAAAATGTGCTATAAAAAATAGACTGTATATAGATGGATGATGCTAACCCGCTAGCTCAATGAAGCCTAAAAGGGAGGTAGTCATTGTTCAAGATTTGGCTAGCTCCGGCTCCTTTAGGCTTACCATGAAAAAGGTTTTTGTCTAGTTTTCACAAGCATGTATTTTTCTCCTCTGTCACATCTAAATCAGCTTTTTTAGACAAGAAAAAAACCTGACGCAGCCGATCATCTCTCAGCTCAAGCATCAAATAGTGACTCTCAGGGTTTA